CTGTTGTCGGTTTGTCAGGTTGATTGATGACGTCCGTTAGCAGCACTGAGATTTCTGGACGCCCGAATGTGGACGTCTTTGCGAAGAGGTGCAGAAAACCGAGTTGAGTTTCTTCAGCTGCACATCTCCACAAACACGTCCACATTCTGGCGGTGAGGAACCTAGACGCTGCTAGTGGGACTTGCCCCTAAGTACGTCACACACAACCAGAAAAATGAAAAGAAAAGAAAAAAAGAAAAAAAAAGATTCTGGTTAGTAGCGTTTTGTCGGACGGAATATGAATTCATTTATTACCCAATGACAAAAGAACATACTCGCTCACCCTGGGACTAAATTCAGATGTATTTGACTGCAATTGCGGCCGGTTTTGACTGAATCTGACAGCGAATACGTCCACAAACGAGTGAACAGAAGTCCCAGTATGAACACGCGCTGAAACGGATCAAATCCGAGGAAGATAGGAAGATACTGATAAATTCAGGCGTCATCGACGCATTTGACTGCAACTACGGCCGGTCCTGGATGAATCAGACCGCAATTACGTCCCGAGAGATCGGCAAAGAGAACCCCCGGTGTGTATACTCGCCCTAAGAAACGGTTCAAATCCGAAGAAGGTAACCGATCAGTGCCGACTGACGACAATTGCAGGAAAAAAAAACAAGAGAGAGAAACAGGCAAAAAAAAAAAGGCCAACACGAGTCTTTTTTTCCCTCTTTTTTCACTTTTTTTCTTTTGTTCTTCATTGAATATTTCACATATCAATCCACCGAAACGGAAAACGACAAAAAATCCGCAAAATCCGCGAAAAGGACCAAACAAAAATTTGCTGACGCAGTAAGCCAAGCGAGACAGTACAAAAACACCTCCTCCTCCTCCTCCTCCTCCTCTCGTCTCTCAGAGGGCGACCACCATGACAAATTGATCCATCATCATCATCATCATCATCATCATCATCTTATGATTGACCCCCCTACACTAGGAGGACCTCGATTATCACGAATGACGCAAAAGCCCTAATTAGGCACCAATAACAATCAATCAATCAATCAACCAATCAATCGGTCAACCAATCAACCAATCCATCTATCAACCAATTGATCGAATCGATGACCAACGACACGAGCCCAGAGAGAAGCTGATTCAAGAGACGACCAGAAGATAGCCTTATTAGCGCGCCAAAAAATGCCCGCTACTTCTTCGGCGCGCCAAAAAACTCCCGCTCCGTTATTCCACGCGTTCCCCGCTCACCGCAGAAGCTCAGATCAGAAAACAGAACGTAAGTCACAAACCTCATGACGGTTCAATCTCCACCATCTCGATTACAGCAGAGCCAACTCTTCCTCCTCCTCCTCCTCGTCCTCTCGGTCTCTTGCCATCGGCCAGCTCCTCCCTAACCGCAAATACCTGATTCGTACCCCGAAGCCCACAGCGATAATCGTTATGATTCTTCCTCGCTGAGCCGCAGATCTGCCACACCACCATTTCATTGTGTGCATCCCTTTTTTAACCTAGAAATCTCCTCCTGCCAACTCCTCTTCCTCCTCCTCCTCCTCCTCCTCCAGCAGGAACAGCTGCAACAGCACCATTTCATCGCATACTCTTAACCTAAACTCGCATCCCATCAATTTCTATTCCTCCTCCTCCTCCTCCTACTTGCTACTCACCTCTTCCATTTCAAACCCTAAAACAGGTGTTCTCTCCTTCGTCGTCTCCTTCGTCGTCTCCTTCTCTCATTTGCTGGCTTCATCCATTCATTCCCCACCTTCCTCCCTAGAGCTCGCCCCCACTACGTCAAGGACCGCCCCCGACTTAAATCAGATCGGCGGACTGATTAATCCAACGATACACACTACCGGGTCCGGGGGTGATCAGAGATTGATCGTGCCTTCTCTCTCTCTCTCTCTCTCTCTCTCTCTCTCTCTCTCTCTCTCTCTCTCTCTCTCGTTCGTTCGTTGGCCATTTTTGGCGCAGGCTCTCTCTCTCTCTCTCTCTCGCTCTCGCTCTACCTCTCTCTCGTTCGTTCGTTCGCCACTTTTGCGGCAGGCTAGCCGTCACCGCTTTCTTCCTCCCGCTCGTTCGTTGAATTCATTGGATTCATAATTGGATTCATTTTTCATTCATCGAGTGCCTGCAGCAGGTCGCGCACCTCCGTCATGAGAGCGGTGAGTCTCTGCTGGATCTTCTCCACGCGTTGATCAATCTCTCTTGGCGCCAATTTGCGTTCATACCCCTCTACCATGGCCACATGTTTCTGGACGGCCTGCGTCTGCAGCTCCTTTTCTTTTGCGATTATGTCCTTGACCTTGGCAACGAGCCCAATCGAACGTCCACCGCTCGATTCCAACCGATCAACGAGGCTCTTGATAGACTTGGCGGTCTCCTTGAGTTTCTCCTCCACCGGCGCTCTCACCGCCTTACACTCGGCAACCCCCTCCTCTCCTTTCCTCGTCAGCTCTTTCAGCGATGCCTCCAAGTATCTGGTTAATCCAACCCTAGATTTGAGAACGGCTCGGACCTTCTGCACGGCGTCGATCACCTCCTCCCTCTGTTTCCTCGCTACGTACGCTGGCGAGCTCTTGGATATGGTGAAGTCGGCCCGAGCGTACACCATGCAAGCGAGGAAGAAGGCGCCAACGGCGGAGATCAACAACAAGGGTTTGCGAAGCATGGATATGGCGGCAAAGTTGTACTTGACTTGGAAAGCGACGTTGTGTTCGGCGACAACGTTCGTCTTCTTCAAGACGATCACAGGTCGACCGGTGATGTCCAGCATTGCGTGTTTGACAGAGAGGAAGACGGAGACATCTCCGCCGCCGCCGCCGCCAGCCGCTCCCTGAAGCGCAGCAGGAACTACCGGTTCCATGTCCGCAGCTCCTTCAGGTAGTGCCACCTCCACCGTCAGATCCTCCACATACGCGTCTTCGAAAGGTGTACCGAACGGCATAGTCAACACGCGCCTGCCGTCCTCCTTTGACACAGACACGCAGTCTTCCAACGGCAGCTTGTAGCCGATAGTGAAAGCCACCTTCCACCCGCCCAGCATGGGGAACCGAGGCTCAACCTCCAGCTCCGTCTTCTTGGAGTCGCCGCGCAAAAGAGAGGAAGAGATATTGCCAATCTCGTCGCGGTAGTACACGTCGAATGCGCGCGGCGGGAGCGTGGCGAAGAGTCGGCGGAAGGAGGCGGCGCCGCTTGCGCCCGGCCGCAGCTGATAATCCAGCCTAGAGAAGGTGCCCTTGTGCTTCGCCCCGCCATTGTAAATCACGTAGTCTTCTTTCACTGTCACGCTCCCCCACGGCGACACTTCCATCTCGCGTACTAGATTCGAGATGACCGCGAATTTGGCAAGATTCTCGTAGTGAATACGCATGGGAGAGATTGCCAAGGGCTGTGTGTTATGATAAAACCCATAGGTGATCTCGTTGTCTCTCTTCCTCGTCGGTTCCTCCTTCGTGTAGGACTCGACGCCCGGACTGAAGAGCGAGACCTTCGTGACCTGTGTTTTCGTTGGATAGACGGAGAGGAAGTAATGGTTGTCGTGGTAGAGCACGAGCTGTGGGTCTTGTTGAGAGATTTCGGCGGGGTAGGGTTCCAGCAGGCGGGTGAACACGCAGTGGATTTCTAGGGTTAGCGATCCGCCAGACTTCAGCGGAGAGGGAAGAGACACGGCGAAAAACGTGATGCCCTTGGAAAGCGCAGGATCGACGCCAGAAATGGCGGGGACAACCGCCGACACCGGCAACGCCGCGCCCCCCCCGTCGTTCCCGCCAATTTTAACCGTACGGTACGCGAGACGTTCCGCTTGCTGATTAGGAAGGGCAAGAAGGATCTCGGAAACTTCCGCCGAACCTTCGTTCTCCATCTTCGCCGTGACGTAGAGCTTCACAAACTGCGTCGACAGATCGATCCGCCTGTCAATCCTTGTGTTAATCAGCTTGCCAACAGCTGATGATGTGTCCCCCACCGCCGTCGCCGCCGCCGCCGCTGTCACCGCACAGAGAGCAAGAGCGAAAAGGAGAACATTTGCCGAGCAGAAGACTCGGCGATGGTGGCTGCTGCTGCCACAACGCCCACGTGAGCCGAAAACCGCCTCCATTGCAACGGCCACCACCGCCGGCGGACGGCCCATCTCGACGCCATAGCCCATCCTCCCTCCCCCGTCTGCTGTACCCTTACTCCTCCCACTCTCCTCTGCCAGCCGTCCTCCTCCCGCTTCGCCTACCCGCACACACACACACACACACACAAAATATATATATATATATAACCACTCGCTGCGTCAGTTGCCTTCTGCCTTCTCGCGCGCGTCGACGACCCTCTTTAGCCGCCCCGCCAAAACACGAAAGCAAACGAAACCGAGCGAAACGAAAGGGGACCGAAACCCTACTCCTCCCTCCCTCTCGATTGCGGCCTCCCGCCTCTTTGCACCTCCAGGAGGAGAAGGAAAACCAAACCCTCGTCTCCTCCAACCCTTCGCTTTCCTATTCCCTCCTCCTCCTCCTCCTCCTCCCCTCTTCCTCGTCGTCCTCCCTCCTACCGGTAGCTGCTACTGCGTCGAGTCAGCCTCTGCACTCTACGCCAACCCCTCCCTCTCCGGTCCACCACTTCTCCAGCACTGCCGGTTCCACTTTCTTGTGCGTGGCACCTAACCCCCCCCACGCGACCGGCCCAGCGTGTTCGTTCTCCTTCTTGCACTCGCTTACCACTGTCGACTCGGTCAGGGTAACACAGGGGACGGTAGGGTAGGGAAGGTTAGTCTAGGGAAGCGAGAGCCCGTCGGTTGCAAGGGATTTGACCCTGAACCTGTCACCGAACTGCAACGAAGACCTAGCCTAGGTGACCAACTGGTAGCATAATAACGTTAGAAGCCGAACAGCGAATCTACCGCGGCAGCAGGCATCGTACGGCCAATAAAATGGCAAAAAAGGAACTGGGGAGACCTACCGCTGGATGTGCACGGTTCCTTGATTCCCTTCTGACTGCAGTTAGTTTCCAGTCCACCTTTGGTCGTAGGCATTTCCACCTGTGTCCTTGAAAGTCACATTAAAGGTAAGCGGTGACCAAGGGACCTCCTCCTCAACATAACGACTCCTTGTTTATCCGAGCTTTTTCACAGTCTTCCGAAATGTGGTCCATTTTGCCAAAACACAGAGCGTCCCCTTTGGCATCTTTCATAGAAAAGCAAGGCTGGGCCTAAAACTCCAATACCAATGCCAACCATGTAGGTCCAGAGTTTGAGTGATACAGCGTGATCAAGCCCTCATTGACCAGACGGCCATATCCAGTTTGTCTTTTGGTCACTTGCCGCGTGCATGATCAAACCAGTGGTCGTGTATGGAATCTGATGTGGCAGTTGTGCATACTTTAGGACTAGAGGCAGCGACCGTGGGTTTGACCATATGTGGAAGCTGATCAACAAGCATGATGCATAGCTTAGCAAAGTGGTGAGCGAGTGCGTCATGGTGGTGTACCCCCAGTGAACATTGTGGTTAATTTGGGCTGAAAACTAATGACGACAAGTTGACCTCCCACATGTGCAGAAAACGAGTTTCAGTCGTGTCGGTGATGGACTGATTAACATAATGAGGTATCTGTTGGTAGTGGTTGAAGTCGATTGTTGGATTGTTGGATTGTGGAATGTTGGATTGTGGAGTGTTGGATTGTTGGTTTGATGTCTGGGATTTCTTGTTGGACGTGTATTTTGGAAAATTGAGAGGAAGACCGACTCCTTGCTTTCTGTTTCGCTGGCCGATATTATAATTGTGACGGAAACCAATATTATTTCTTGGTTTGTCATTTTACTGCAAGGAACTTGTTTATGATACATATCTATAGGCTAGGTGTAAATTAAGGTCATTGATTGGTTAACTCTGTCTTAGTTTATCTTATTTGGTTATACACTCGTTGGCATGAATCGCTTTGTAGCGCATATGTATTTTGTTTGCGAAATACATATTGCCTTGAAAGAGGGTTTGCTCATATCTAGGGTGATCAAAAAATTGTTTAAAGTGGCCTTGCACCAAAGATGGGATTCCATTGCGCACAAGTGTAATAGGAAGAAAATGAGACTATGATCAGAAAGTGAAAAACAAGGCAACGTCATTTATCAAAGCTTCATATAGAATACTAGCGTTAAATTGACATAGTAACAATATATTTTTAGGTTTCGTTCACAGTTAGGTTAGTGGGGCTCCTAATTAATGTGCCCCAATCATAGACGTTGGCGAATTGAATGACATATGAGGCAACAATATTGTCTTTACCCACGATTTATAACTTTTCAAAAGGTATGAGGATTAGCGAATAGGTGACTTAAAAAAATTAACAAGTACCGTGACGGGTCGTATATAATGAAAAGGGTGACTTTTATGATTTTTTCCTCTTATTGTGTCACAAGCAGATAAGGTAATAATAAAAGAGGATTATAACATCTCTTTCCTTTTATAATTATACAAAATTTATTAACATTTTTATTTAAGATAAATACATAGATTGATTTCATTAATTCATATGTCTTTATCGATTGACATCTTTCGATCTGTATTTCTCATATTTTGAATATACAAAGGTTCTTTTTGTATGTTGATAAGTATTTGTAAAGTAGGCGAAAGTGAAATATATTTTTTTCCTATATGTGAAACTTTTAGCCCTTTGATGTAAAATCTAAGAATGTTATGAATTTTTATTGATATGATATTTTCATAGTACTATTTCAAATTCATAGCGACTAGCAGTTGTGTCGTTTATAAGATTTGGAAAGAGTATTTGCATGGGTTTATCAGCTCTCAATTTTCAATAGTCATTTTATTGGTGATTGAAAAACCTAAAAAAAAAATATAATTGCAATCAGAAACTCTATCACATAGTTTTAACTGTTTCAAAATCATCTTCAATACTGTAAAAACTTAGGACTAAACACGAGTTAAATAAAAAAACACGATTAAATAAAAAAAATAATATGTTTTACGAACATGTAATTCAAGTTGCATCATTATCAATTGTAAAGGAAGTGTTAAAAAAACATAATGGAAACATATATAGACAAAATGCAATTAAAACTGTACTAGTCATATCTGTGGATCTTGGAAGAGAAACGACAATGATAATAATTTAAAAATGAGACTATACTAGTATAACAATGTTTTTTCTTTTACAAGACAGTCGCTTGATTGAGACTTCATGATAATGAAAAATAGTAAGTCATTATAAGTAATTCATCCGATATTAATGGAAATTCTTATAATATTTACTTTAATATTTTTTTTATATATTGTTATCTCAACAATTGATGTTAGAGAGAAAAAATAAAAAATGACATCACCATAATCATGGTGATAAAACAATTGTCATTAAAAAAAAAACACATATGATATTAAAAATTTGTTTATGTATTTTTTATAATTTGCTTGTTTATTCTCACTTTATAGATTATGCAGTCAATAGGTTATTACAAAGATGTGTATACTATAAAGAAGACAAGTGCAATATTTTAAAATATAAAATATAAATTTTAAAAACTAATAATATAATATTAACTATTTTTTCAAATAAGATTATCCATAAAATTACAGTGAAGCAAATGTAAAAAATCATTAGTCATTTAATTAACCATTGTCCAACAATATTTGTAAATGACCCCTTCATATTAAATACTCTCATATCAGTCGTGAAAAAAAAATATATATATATATATATATATAGGGTTACCTGACCGAACGTTCGGAGGCCCCCGGGCTGGCCCCCGAACGTTCTGGTGTTCGAGGTCCCGTTCGGGGGCCGAACACCTCTATGTTCGGCCCCCGCCAAAAAATATTTCGCGGCCTAGAAATAAGTTTCTTTTTCTGAATGTTTTCTGGTGAGTTCTCTATGATGTAACTTACATGCCTATAAATTTTGAAGTCGTTCTGCTAAGCCAAAAAAACATTAAAAACCATCAAAGATGGGAGTGTCAAAACGTTCTCGCCCGCTCACTATTTTTTTTTTTTTCACTTTTAACTTTTTATTTTCACTTTTTTTCGGGGCCTAAAACATTTTATTATTTTTTGAAAAACTTTTAATGAGTTATTGATTATGTAAATTATATATATGTCAATTTTCAGGGCATTTGTCAATGCCAAAAAATAATAAAAAATCGGCAAAGATGGCAGTGTCGAAAAGGTGCTGGCACACTCACTCATTTTAATTCTCTTTTTTATTTTTTTTTATTTTTATCATAGTGTTTATTTTCTGTATTTGATTTTTAATTCAAATTTGGTAGAGAATGTGGATGTAGTGCCCAAGCAAATGTTGTTTAGTTTATTTTTCTCCATAACATAGTTTGTTTTCAAAATTTTTTGAAAACTTTTTTGTTTATTGTTTTTTTTTTTTTTTTTTTCCCGCGTTCGGCCCGAACGGCCAAACGCCTTCTGAAGGGGTCCCCTACATTCGGGCGTTCGGGTTCGGGCGTTCGGCCCGTCCTAAACGCCGGTAACCCTATATATATATATTTTGACTTTTTACTGCCTGATATTCCCAGAGCATATGACACATAGAGTTGAATTGGAATGATGGTGTTGATTATTGTATACTTATAAATTTTAAACAAACTTAGTAACGAATGCAATAGGCGAAAATTATAACGATTAAGATATGCTGAATAATTATAACTCAATGTTTGAATAAATATTTCAATTGTACACGTTAGTGACCTTAGCACCGATAGTTTATGAAGCGTATAACAAGTGGTACCATGTGGTCAGACCGTTGCACATCATATTTAACAATAATGATAAAATATTAGCGTCTTAAATCTCAATATTGGTCTCGTAATGTCGATGGTTAGATCATTAGATGTATATTTGGTCGGTCGGGGCGAGGTATTCCATATTCTAAAAAAAAATAATAAGTAATGAAAAATTTGCACCACCTTTGAGGTACCTATCTAAAAAATATGTCACTTTATATAGTGAAAGTATAAGAGTTTCCTAAAAGAGATGTTACAAGTGCACTTCGCATTATTAATGCAAAATGACGTAAATGTTTTGATACAAAAAACAACGTTTTTATGAGTAATTTGAAGTGTAAAAAAAAAAAAAAAAAACATTTAGAGACTTTTCTTTAAAATTAGAACAACAAATAACGATAATAGTGAAATGACTCTTTTTGATTGAGTAAAAGAGAAAAATTTATGAAGTTTCATATTCTGATAAATGTATCGATTGATTCTTAAAATATTTAACGTATTATCCTCGTATAGAAAAAAATCTATAAGTTATTACATACCTAATGTATAAAAGTTTTTTGCTCGTAAGGGTAGGAGCAATACTTTAAAGGT